TCCACTTGTTATTCAAAGAGGAGCTAGTGTCCTATGTTCTGCTCCCCCCTGTCCCTCCATCCCCATTCCCTTTATCAGGGGAAATTCTCTTTTTCCCAATTGAAGAATAACTAAGCTTAATGTTATGCACAAAAAAATCCTGTTTCCAATTTCTGACTGCGTAGCAAAATACTGAAGAAAAATAGAAACTTCCTCCAGAAATAATCATTCTTTAATTGAAAGATTTTGTTAACTTTGTTTCTGATGGAAATTTGATCTTCAACTGACTTTCTGAAGTATTTGCTAACCCAACCCAAGTTATTGTTCACAAAGAATAGCTCACAAAGAAAACTACAACAAACTAGATTTAGTATCTGGAATGTTCGGTTCTTTCAGCAAAATGGTTTGTCTATAAAAAATGCTTTATGAACACTGCAGTGAGGCTCACACTCTGTTCTGAAACAGCTTATGAAAACTAACTGAAGTGTCTCGTGCCAAGTAAGACTGGCAAGTAATTTCACGTGGGTAAATAAAGCACTGAGGTAAATGGGGAAGGATAACACCTTTTCTCTGACAGAAGAAACAGACTCTTTCCTATGACCAGAGTCTACAGTCCACATTTATACCATAATGAATGGGGAACTATTGACATAGTACTCCAGAAAAACCTAAATGGGAAAAAAATAGTTTCAGAATAGACATATCTATTTTTAGACCTACCAAAGGTTGTGTTCAGCAGTCCCTGATCACCTCTGGGCAGCACAGGACACCTGAGCCAACTCTGTGCTCCAGTGGCCAGGGCTGTGCTTGCCCCAGGATTTCTCTGCCAAGCAGAACTTGTCTGCAGGGCATGGTAGAGGCCTCAGTGCCACAGACTCTTCACACAGAGGCCAGCAAAGGTACACAAAGGGGAACATCTGATCGGATGTAGAAGAGCTGCCCCTGGGGTGGTTCTTCTGGACAGAGGGGAACCAGCACACGGCCTTCAAAGCATGCAGAGCAATGCTGAGCCCAGCAAGCATCCAGCAGCAGGGGCTGAGCTCATGTGTAAGGCACACAAGTGTTGGAGACCTCACAGTGACACAACCAGACCGGGTCCTGTCCAAAGTCACACATTTATTCACCCACGCAGAGAATGTTGTGAAAACTCTGTCACTTGATCCAAGTGCTCAGAATTCATCACTGCCCACTTCTTTCTATATTTAGCACAGACATTTTGGGGGGAAAAAGATGTGAAGTATGTAAAACTGTATGCAATATGTATTACTAAAAAGGAAGAGGTGCTGTGTGAAGGAATCACTAATGGATTCCGGCTGGGACTGATTCAGTAATCTGTTATTTTTCTGGGCTGATTTCCACTAACTGTCCAATTCCAACACTTTGTCAGCAAATGTTGATTTTAGCTACAACCAGGTTATCGCTCTTTTGAGTAGTAACACACCTGAGCTGGAAAACAAAGGCTGAGTAAACCAAAGGCTGAGTTCAAGTGAGATCAGTACTCTGCTGGAATGAACCCCCCCACTGCTCTGAATTCAGGGGATGACACCAACCAACCTGAATCCTTTTTTGTTTTGGGGATTTCTAGATGATATAGTGAATGCTGAAAGGTTTTACTTCTCCATTCCACATATCTAGACATTCCACACATGGGAAGGAAATACCTTTGTCCTCCGTTTGTATGTTTTTCTGTAATTTGGTCATTCCTGAACTCATTCACACAAGTGTAACTATTCCCAACCACTAGTACCTTGTGATAACACAGGTAGATGGCTGAGCAGGAACCCCTGTGACAGCAGCACAGGTCACGACTCTGCAGGTTTGGGACATTCAGCATTAGCAACTTGGTATTCTGAGAGAAGAAAGAAAAGCCAAGGATCTATAGAGAGTGAACAGAAAATAGGAAAGCATTAATTTAGCTCCTCAGAGCTGGCCAGCTGCCACACCCACTGACCACGAGGAATCACACTGCCACAGACAGTAAAAGGGGAACTGTTTGCTCTCTCAAGGGGCTGAGTAACTCCTCCTGACAAAGCCCAGACTGGGGATCCTCTTGCCTGACCAGTGTCAGGCAGGGCTGGAAGGGGTTCTAACCTAGCTCCAGTCACAATTGTTCTTGAATTGCACATTTTAAGTAACACTCAGGGGACTGGAACAGGACAGCACGCATGCTTGATGCTGAAGATAAGGCTATTTGTGCCTGTTATACTGGAGAGTTTCTACAAGATTAATTCTTAAAAACTAGTTGTGTTTCTTAGATTCTTATAATCTTTCACTCTGAAATCACTGAGACAACTTGTAGGGTATGCCACCTGATTTGATCCCACCTGAGCATCTTCAGAGATGCAAACTTGAGTTATCACTTAGCAGATGAAAGAGGAAGAACCACTGATATTCAGGTCCAAATCTCTGCTTTGCATTGATTCACTACAGCACATACCCTTCTGGATCTTACTGGAGCCACACCATTCTACAGTGGAAGATAATACAGAAACAAGTGGTCCACTGTATTACAAAGGAAACAATCCACACCAGAGAGGAGACAATTCTAGTAAGTTTTTATTTGCCAGGCTCTAGTTCTGCAACCCTCCCATTTGAATTAAATACAAATCAATAAAGATGTCATAAAAGTGTCTCAAAAAGAAACCTTTGATATTAACAGTACAGAGAGGTGACACCTTGAATACATCACAATCACACTAAACCCAATACTCTTTATTACCCTGCACGTACACTTCCCCTGGCCCAGCACTCCTGACAGCACATCACCCTGTATGGCTGTTCATGAAAACAGCATTTGCTTCCTGCTTGCCCAGCAACAGAGGGAAACTCTTCCCTAGCTGAGATGAGAGCAACTTCTCCCCATCATGAAGCTTTCAGAACATTTGTTTTGCAAATGGGGCAGGGAAGTGTCTGTCCTACAGCTTTTAGCTGGTACCAGTTTCAGAGGAGCTTTGGTCTGCATGAGCTGAGACAGCCAAGCTCAGTGTCACCCACCCATGCAAGCTCCACTGTATCCTGCTTGAAACAGAGCAGAGCAAGCACTACAGAGTACCTAGCAGCAGTAACATGTCCTCACACTGTGGAGTCCATCAGAAGGCAGAAAAAGCCCCTTTCTCAAATGTGTTTAGATACCTACAGATGCAAATCAGCATTAAAGTGGCAACTGGCAAAGCACAGAAAGTGCTCAGCTGTTCCTGGTTTCCCTTTCTTCAAACAAACACTGCAATAAGTTTCAGGTGGTGACAAATACCTGTGACCAAGCCACTTCTTGGCAGCAGAACTGGCCTCTTCCTGAGACAGACTCTACAAGTGGAATTGTGTTTATCCACATGCTCCACCGTTCCCTGGAAGAGGTATGAGGCTGCACACCACATACACCAGAGCTAGATAGACAGGAACCCACTGGAGGCACCTGGGAACAACAGTCAGCAGAGTTTATGGTGCTCAGCACCTTGAAAGAGCACAGAAGATAAAGGCATGAAAGTCAATACTTGAAGCAGGTTTCTGCTCAGAAAAGCACTTGGTCATTTTGTGGACAAATACTTTCCTCACTTTTAGATAAAAACATGAATATTTTTCCAGTTCCATAAAGAACATTCACATTAATAACAAAACTATTAAATATCCTACACACACTACTATGCTATGTCAGACAGAATTCTATGGTTCTATAACTTGTACCTTTATCATGAGGTGGGAAATTATGTCCTCACAACACCTTTGTGAGGTAGATAGGCTCCATGACATCTTCTCCAGAAGGGAAAACAAGCAAAAAGAGGTGAACTGACTTACATGGGGATGCACAGCAAGTCTGGGAGCAGAACTCGGGTCACGCCTACAGATCTCTCCACTGTAAGACACTACCTTACATCGCACTCATCTCCAGGGCTGAACAAAAAAGCATTCATGTACCACTGACAAAATACACCCAGCCCAACACCAATCATTGAGTAAACTACTTCTGTTCCAGAAATGGCATAAAGAGGAGCTACGAAACACTTTTCTTGCAAGACATGAAATCCGCACAGGACAACTCCAACTGCTGTTAGCTAGCACAAGCCCTAATATCTGGGCCCCTAAATTTTCACCAGGACATCAGTTAGAATCTTTCTCATGTCTTGACTTCCCTCTCAAATTCCAGAGTTAATTAATAAGGCACATCAATTAATAAGGCACATCAGGGGCTAATCCAAGAACTTTTGCAATAGGTATGAAGTCCTGTAGGCCAATGGTCATTTCCAGGCTGAAACTCAAAAAAAAATGGTTAGAACATGAAACCACATTTATGGCTGAGAGAGGGAAGAGCTCACAGCCCTGATAGTGTCACAGTGCAAGATACTGGGAGCCAGCCTCATGCATCATTGCCTGAGATATCACCTGAATCATGACCAGCATGGAATCATGTTATCTCAACCCTCCGTAAAGGTGCGTAAATGCAGTGAGATTTGGGAGTGAAGGCAATAGAAAGTGTGCTGCATGTTGGCTTGGAAGGATCCCACCACATGGCTGAGGCCCAACTAGAACATAACACAGCATAACAATGTACACCTTCTTCACTAGACAAGTGACAACAGGGACTTCTCTGTACAGTTGCTGACTTGTGGATATAAGAAATAGTTAAAGAATTCTCAGCTCCTGCCTGAGTGCAGTGTTCAACGGTAGATTTACAAGTGCATACCAGTGATATAATAGTTCAAATCATTTGATACAACAGCCTCCCCTCTCTCTATTGAAAATTCGATAAATTCTAATTCTTGACCTTGATCAGATGTACAAGGGATCACTTGATCATACATGTGATCCAGACACATGATCCTTAGGCTTGTGTAATTAAACGACACTTTTCGCTCCAGGTCGACTGGAATAAATTTGAGTTGGTTCACGCCTGAACTGATTGATGTGTGACTGCCAGAAGGCAGCAAACATCCCATACTGGATCTGAAGTGATGGACTCTATACAGGACTTCGGGCAACAGGGAGTAATATTAGGGGTCCTTTCCTTGTTTAACATACGAACTCTTCACTGCTCACTGATGCGTTGTACTGTTTGCCCAGGTTGGGAATGTGTCCAGGTCAAACATAGGTCTTCCCCATGTGTTGATGGCCAGTGTGACACAGAGGACTCCAATGATGTTCATCACTATTCCAGATCTAACCTATGAGAGCAAAAGTCCAAACCAACAATAACCAAACAGCAGCACAGCGAGTCCAAACCAGCAACACCTGAACACCAGCACAGCAAATTGCAGCAAGGCCTATTTGTACATAGACAAAAAAGATGATAAAACAAATTACAGAAATGGCCATTGTACCCACTGCCTTACACTCTGGCTTAGGTGAAACGCATGGTGCAGAGCCTTGTATACAACCAGACTAGGAGCTTTAAGGCATGTACAACAAGTTGTTCTTATTAGTCAGGGAACAGCTTCTGCCCTCCTTGAGATTCCAGTTAGAAAACCAATAACATCTGGTTGTTCCTCCCAGGACCTGCCCTGTGTTGTCAGGCAGGCAATCAGAGGACCAGAGCCAAGAGCTACTGATTGCTACCTTCTGCTTCCAGCTCCAATGGAGACAAGGCCACAGACACTTGCCAAAGCCCCAGAACCCTGCAGAGCACTGCCTGCACTTTAACCTTTCAGGTTTCAGAGACTTGTGACTTGTCAGCTTTTCATTTCAGTTGGGCTGGGCGCTATTTCTCCCACAGCCTGTCAGAAAAGTAGTCTTAATACAGAGATGCAAATCTTTATCACAGTATTAACTGCAGAAGAGAGGGGCACAGGGTGGCAGTGACAACCCACAAGAGCTTCCTGGGACTTTGGAAATACTCAGCAAAGCAAATGAAACTCTCACTGTATTTCAGGATAAAGGCAATAGAGAGTTTTGGGTAAGAGACCAGGGAGTTATCACACTTACCATATCCAAAACACGGATGTGTCCGTAGGAAAACACGATTGCGTTTGGTGGTGTTGCAACAGGGAGCATGAAGGCAAAGGAAGCACTGAGAGTACCAGGCAGCATAACATACAAAGGGTGGATCTTGACAGATGCAGCCTGCAATGAAATGGAGAGAATATCGCACTGAAGGTGTTCCAAAGGAAAAGCATAAAGGATCAATTGATCCTAGACCACTGAGACACACAGACTTGTTTTGTTTCCTGGTATTACATCACCAGTGTAATTTATAAACATTTTATTCTGAAATTCACATGTGCTTAAAGATAACTTTTCTGTCGTTCCCTGTCCCACAATACTTAAAACCAAGGCTTGATTCTTTCTTGTTGTTTGTTTTGCTCTATGGTATAATTTGGAGTTCTGGTCAAATATATCCAACAATCTTTTCTTTGACCTCAGACCACCCTTTGCCAGGGAACACAGGGATGGGATTATAATTACTAGGTACATGGAGTGACACTCTTAGACTTTACATAAACTCTGTGGAACTCAGAACTTAAGTGCCAATTTAAGTCACTAATAGCTTAGTACTTTGATTGGGATAATTTTACTTTGATGAAATGGTCCAGAATAAAGCACTTGTACTTTCCAAATTAAAGAACAACATAACCTGTTTTTGCCTTTATGCCACAACTTTGATTCTGCTCAGAAAAGGCAGCAAAACTTGCCAGGTTTTCCTCTGTAAGTTTTAAAATTGTTCTGGTTTCATATGGGAAATGACACATTTCTAATAATCAGGCCTACCACTTTGTGTATTCCAGTATGAAACTGTGAAATGAATCAGTCACAGGTATGCACAGAAAGTGCTGGAATTTGGTTTGGGTTTGTGTGTGTGCCTTTCCAGCTTTAAGTTGATGGGTCAAGTGCAAAATGATGAGAAGTAACTGATGTTTGCTGATCTGTATTGGAAAAGTGACTCTCAATACACTTTCTTCAGGCCAAGGCACACACCTTACAGAGGGCTTGACTCAGATTCCTTTTCAGTGAGGAAACAATGGGGTGACATCCAAGACAACAAATATGATATTGCTCTGTGGCCTGAGACTGTCAGTTTAACTGATCTCACAGCTGAGAGGGTAACGGGACGAAGTCATCTTACCATGGATGAAAAGACAGGCAGGAAGAGAGTGGCCGTGGCGACGTTGCTGGTGCACTCAGTGAAGACAGCTATGATAAGCGAGAGCACTGTCGCAATGGCCCATGGTGGGATAGATCCCAGTGGAGTCATCTGATGACCCAGCCAGGCTGAGAGCCCAGAGTTCTGACAAGGGAGAAGAAGTGGGTTTCAGTGAGGTTTAGAACCCCTGACTCATGAGCAGGGAAGTCATGTCATGTGCAATATTCCTACCAAAGAATGATAAATGAGTCCTGAGTTATATAAACACCGTCCAGGAAAGTACAATGACCTGTCACAAACATGAAAGAAATTTCTTGTCAACTAGACATAATCCTGAGTCCCACTTTTCTGATTCTTCTGGAAACCAAATACTTGCTCACGCTTTGGTTACAACATTATGGGGGTTTTGCTAAACAGAAACAATTATTTCTGAGACAATTGCAAATACTTAATGAATCATCCAGAAACTTCCTGGCATGTTTTCCTAAGGCTTCTGAAGATTATGGTTCTGTATGGATGCTCCGTAGTAGGACCACAGGGAATAACTGACTTATACAGGTTACAAAACCTCTGACTCCATGGCTTCTAATGCTCTGGAGCTTTAATAATTTACATGTGATGTATGTAGATGAATGTAAGGCCCTAGAGCTTGAATTTGCCACATGGTTTAAACCTACTTAGTCACAAAACTTAGACATGAACATGAGTTTCTCCAAAGCATGGCACTGCTGATAGCTTGCTTTGATTTAGATGCATCTTAGCAGTCCTGAAGGAAACAATGTGGTTCACCTCAAGACTCTTTCCTGTTTTGGGAATTCAGCTACCTTTTCTGTGAATTTATGAAAAGAGGATCCGACCTTGGGCTTACAGAATGCAGCATATGTCCTGGCAATAGCCACTGACAAGAAGTTCAATAAACCCTACTGTACAAAATTTTGGGAGGTACCTACCACAATGATTTTCTTTCTGACCACTTCAGTAGCAGTTTTGGTTTAAGTTTGCACATATATAACCTTTAAACAAACCTCAAATGGTTCTGAAAATTTTACAAGTATACTTCTATTTTTCTAGCCAGGGCTGAGATTGGGATGATTACAGAAATAAGAAAGGATGCTGTTCTGGACTGTCCAGCCAGTGAAGATCCCAAACTCTCAGCAGCCTCCAAGACGTAAGATAAATTGAAGAAACTTGGTCAGAGCACAAAAATTCCTGAAAAAAAGTCACAAACATTTACCTCTCCTCATTTTTTGCTAATTTAGATCTGACTCCAGATCTGAACATCTCTACTGGGTTTGGCTTTGGGTGCATGCCCAGTAATACAGGACTAGATAACAAACCAGGGAAGTTCGTCTTTGAGTCAGTGAAAAACAGATGTCAGGACATACTGCGCTTGCATCAGCCAAAGCAAAACCTCCTCCCAGCAGCAGCACAATGCTCCAGGGCATCTTCCTCTGAACCACATTCCAGTCTAGCAGCGGGGCTGATAAAAATGGCTTTTTTATATCTGAAGTAAAAAATGAAAAGTAGAACATGTTTTAGGAGAGTGAAGACACTTTGTCTCCTGTTCTATAAGATACCAGGGAAAGACCCAATGGGCAGATGCACATTGCTAAGAAACCTGAACAGGGTGAGAGCAACACACAGGAGCAGGGAACATGCCCCAGCTCTGCCCAGCAAGTGAGGAAGGTGAGCTGCTCTAAAGAACTGCATGCAAATCCAGTGTATGTTTCTGCTGCATTAGCTGAGCTGGTTAGTTGTTTCACAATGTTTTCACAATGTTTTAAATACCTTCTTCAGTCTGTTCAGGGTCAGACATGCTTGAATTCCAGGCTATGAATTTGGGCTTATGAGCAGGAAGGATAAACAATAGCAGGGCAATAAACACAGCTGGAGCAGAATCAGTGATATACCTAATGAAGAAGAGAGAATATAGCTTAGAAAAGTGACATCTTTCTCCTAGAAGAGAGCTGCCTTCTAGAGTTCCAGGGACTGGCCTTTGCCATTCTGCTTGGGGCTTGTATTTGAACAAAATGAGTCATTAGCTCATGTCTGAGGTCTCTCAAATCTGCCATAACATAAAAACAGTAGTAAAAGAAGTGAGCTTTGATACACATTAATAACCAGAGTTCCAGATGACAACAACTCCTGGAGCAGGGCTCCTTCTCTGTGCTGAAGCTAAGATTCACCACTTGGATCTTAAAGACAGACCTGTAAAGAAATGGCCTCAATGATAGTCCCAAAGTGCATTTTATGTTCTTAACATGCCATGGCCACTATGCAAAGAAGCCATTTAAAGCACAAAATCAATTTTGCAGTGAGTTCTAAGGTACTGGCTAGAGGTGATATTGCCAAATATTCAAATACCACGACTGATAGGAGCTCATACAAACAAAATACCAAGGTGTAGGTCAGTGTGACCGAGACCAGCACTACAGAATTTTATCTGTTTTTAGGAGGTTCAGCTTGCTCCATGTCCCAGTCTTCACCCTTCACTGCAGTACAGACTGTCAAACCATAGATCAGCTGATGTCATGCACAAGCTATTGGGTCAAAGCCATCAAACATGTGGATTCAGGTAAGGCTGGAATGGATGACCCCTCACTCAAAATGGAATGTAAGAGCAAGGGAATCTGATTTGCAACAAAGAGGCTAAAGGATGAAGAACCCCTAACAACTTACTTTTCTCCTTCTGGGAAGAGTCTGGTGGCCCAACCTTTTACAAAGCCTGGGTGTCTGGAAAACCACAAGAGCACCAGCAATACAAACATGAGGAGGACATTGAATTCAGCATAAGATATAGGGCCTAGCTTCTTCATTTCTGCCTTCAGCACATTGTAAGCAGCTTTTTCTTTGGCAGTTCTCTCTGTTCCACAGCCCCAGCTTTTTTTAAAGCTTTAAGAAAAAGGAAGAAGAAAATACTGTAAGTATTAGCATACTAGAGGGATTTAACATGCTTGCCTCTCTGAAGCTATCACTGTTGGGGACAGGCAGAGACTACAGCAAAGGCCAGAAACAAAGAAATTACAACAGTGTCAAAGTATTTCATGGGGAAGTGCCAGTTCTCAGAGAAGAATGAGGTCTATGAATGGCTGTCAGTGTCTGTCCAACTTGGGGCAACCTGGGGCAAAAAGCTCAGGTTTGAATCAAGAGTAGCAAGAGCCATACCAGCTTTCCCTGGGCTGGTGTGAGATTGAAAAATAAAAAGGCAATTCTGTCTGAACATTAAGAATGTATAAAGCTTTTGCCTTAGTATATCTCTCATGGACACAAAAGGTTTCCTGGCTTATCAGTGCATGTGTTTTACCAAGATTTCTCAGTAAGGTGATCTGCACAAGCTTACTGAGGCATTTACACAATATCATGTAGCTGAACACTCACTTGAGTCCCATGAAGGAGCACTGTAACCAAAGCCAAGCTAGCACCAACATCAGAATCATGTTTGGAAATGCAAATCCAAACCAGGAAGCAAAATTCACAACATCATTATTGTTGGGGTACAACCTGAAAAGAAAAGTGCTTTCTGTATGAATGTCAAAACATTTAGTAATCTACTCTCCCTTTCTTATGTGCTAGTGACAATTAGACATGTAAATCTGGGACAACTCACACAAGCAATCACAGGCAACATCCACAGCCAAACTGAAGTCAGAGGGGTAGGAAGCCTGACTTCAGAGCAGAACTTAAACAATCCTCAGTTTTCCCTGTGTTTTACTTTAATGCATGAAAGAGCTCATGTGGATATTTCAGGTCAAAAGATCTCCTGTACATTCTAGGTGCCTTTCACTTCCAACATGCCTGTTCATCTATCCCAAGACAGGATGTTCTTTCTCCCTACCAATTCATTCTAATAAGAGAGCAAGAAATATCTTTACTAAAATTAACACCTACACTTCTGCTCACTTCAACAGAAGACAAAGTTACTAGTTGGCTTGAAAGAATGAATGCAGGGTTTTAAGAACAGTAATTTCTGCTCTTCCCTGTGTCCACCAATAATGACTGAAAGAAAAAATAGCAATAGCAAACTTCCAGCTGAGTGTTAAAAACAACAGAGAATGTAGCAACTGAGGCTGAAGGACTCCCACCAGGAGGAAGCAATATTGAGGGACTGGTGTGCTGTCTGCAAAATTTCCACTACAGACTAGGTTCCATGTAAATCAATTCCCAAACTTGCGTCAGCAATGAGAATACAACATAACTGTACAGTTTCCACAGCCACAGCATGGAGAGCGATGTTACAGGAGAGGCTAAGCTACTTTTAGTTCCCTTCAGTGTGCTTATGAGTAATCTACATTCTTCTGATGCTCTTCACTGCAGTTCCTCTTCTGATGTACTGCATTTCAGATGAAAAAGAGGATGCAGAAAAACCAATATCTCATAATCAATCAGCAAGTATTTCCAGTTTTCTCAGAAGACCTATAATGCCATCACACAGTTACCTTTCAAGAAGTGCTGAAGCCAGAAAATGAGGTTCAGCACTTCATGCACATTTCTCACTCTCAGTTCCTCAACTGGTTATTGCTTAAACTTCACAACTGAAATTGTCACCTAAGACCAGCTAGTTGGTTACAGAAACAGTATGATAGAGTAACTAAAAGAAGCAGCAGGA